AGAAGATTTGGAAGATGTAAAAACAGTTCTAATGTATGGGGTGGAAACCTGGAGAACTACGAAAGCCATCATCCAGAAGATACAGGTATTTATTAACAGTTGTCTACGCAAAATACTTCGGGTCCGCTGGCAAGACACTATCAGCAGCAGAGAGGACAAACTGGATTCCAGTAGAGGGAGAAATCAGGAAGAAGTGTTGGAAGTGGATAGGACACACACTGAGGAAAGCACCCAACTGCGTCATAAGGCAAGCTCTCGATTGGGATCGTCAATGTCAAAGGAGAAGCGGAAGACCAACAAATGGAGACAGACATGATAAAAATGAACAGCAGTTGAATAGAACTAGGAAAGAAGGCTGAGGATAGAGTGGGTTGGAGATCGGTGGTCGGCGGACTATGCTCCATTAAGAGTAACAGGCGTAAGTAAGTAAGTAAGGTATTTCAGTATCTTTAGTTTACTTCCCTGTTGTTAACAGCAGCGAGCGGTTTGATAATTTACGTCACAGACCCTATAACTTTCTTAGTTGGGACGTACGCCTAATATTCTCGTTCCGCATAGCTGCTTGAAGATTTTATATTTCTGTTGAGTCTATAATTTTTTCCGTTCGTTTCTATCTCAACAGTCGTCGACGAATGTATCTGATATTCTACGTTACGAAAAATTGCTTATCTAGAAGGATTTATGGACATGTGCATCAGGTTATCGTCAGATTCATTACGATATACCCGCAAAGTCGTACAGGTAGATGTTCTTCATCTTCAGGATGTATGGCATGAGTACGTTACGCAGGTGATAGGAACTAAAGAGTGGAGATATTATAGATTTGACAGTCGAGAGATTCTGGTATGATGACGATTCAAGAGTGATATTCTAAAATAAATAAAGGGAAATTGATGATGATGAGGAGGAAAAACACAACTCGACAGAGCTATAAAAAGATGAGCCTGTGGATTCTAAGTTGAACATCTAGAGCTGGGTGCTCATAAAAATTGTGAATGGATTTGAACAAGATGTTTGACCCAGTTCGTTAACGAGTAATATCAACGAACAATTAATGGGCATTATCACTGTTTAGAACGCCTATTTACCATGACATTTCCCCCACCTTCATAGTGAGATAATGAAAGCCCTAAAATATCCCCAAAAACAATTCCGAATCAAATACTTTGCGCTGAGAATTCTATATTGCACCAAAAATATAATACTGAATAAAGCTGATGATGATGATAATAATAATAATAAATGAGCTGGCTGTTGAGATTTGATATTCCGATGGCCTGATAACTTTAGCAGTACACAGCTGCCTTCACCAATATTTAAATGTTGCATGATAAATCGAACAAAAAGTTGACGTGGCTCCTTTGTTACCCCTTTCGTGCCGGTGGTTACCCTCCCCACGTTCTATTGGTAGAAGTGATGAATGTTTTTATTTAGATACTGGATGTTTCAGTGGAGCGTGAGGTTATCTTTTAAAACACACAAAGCTTTTCAACTTTCGATATAAAACAATAGAAAATATAAAACCTATACAAAGTAAGGGAGCGAATGAGTACTTGAGCCATAATGTTCTGAAATTTACTTGAAACTTTGATGTCAACCCTTAACAAATCAACTTAAGTTGTTAAACACTCACTATTTACCCTTTTATTTTCAGTCTTCCTGGAAAATGAGGTTTGTGGGTAGGTGTTGAGATATAGTTTTCGTAAGCGTTCGTGAACTCGTTTAGTGTATATCAGTAAAGCCTGTATTAAACGTCCTAACAGTGATAAGCTCTGGAAGTTCTCATTGCCCAAAAACTATAGATTTTGAACAGAACATTTCAGTAAATATAAAAATTCCTTTGATTCATTTACAACCATTTATTAGGAGCGTTATAGTAATACTTGTGTAACATAAAAAGCATCAGATACATGCGGTCATTCTTAATTGCAAAGTAGTGCATGGAGGACAGCTGACAGATGCATTCCAAGTAAGGACCGGAGTCAGACAAGGCTGTTTACTCTCTCCCTTCCTCTTTCTTCTGGTGGTCGACTGGATTATGAAGACCTCGACATCTGAAGGAAAACACGGAATACAATGGACAGCTCAGAACCAATTAGACGATCTGGACTTCGCAGATGACTTAGCCCTCCTATCACGTACACACGAACAGATGCAGATGAAGACAGCCAGTGTAGCAGCAGTCTCTGCATCAGTAGGCCTCAGCATACACAAAGGGAAAACGAAGGTCCTCAAATTCAAAACGGAGAACAGCAATCCAATCACTCTTGATGGCGAAACTCTGGAAGATGTAGAATCCTTCACATATCTGGGAAGCATCGTCGATAGACATGGAGGTTCAGATGCAGACGTAAAGGCGAGGATTGGCAAAGCAAGGGCCGCATTCCTACAATTGAAGAACATATGGAACTCAAAACAACTTTCAACCAATATCAAAGTGAGAATCTTCAATACGAACGTCAAGGCAATTCTACTGTATGGAGCTGAAACTTGGAGAACTACAACAACCACAATCAAGAAAGTACAAGTATTTATAAATAGCTGTCTATGCAAGATACTCAACATCCATTGGCCGGATACCATCAGCAAAAGCCTTCTGTGGGAGAGAACAAACCAACTTCCAGCTGAAGAGGAAATTAGGAAAAGACGATGGAAATGGATAGGACATACATTACGCAAATCGTCAAACTGCATCACGAGGCAAGCCCTAACTTGGAATCCTGAAGGGAAGCGGAAAAGAGGAAGGCCAAAGAACACATTACGTCGGATAATAGAAGCAGATATGAAAAGGATGAATTACAACTGGAAGGAGCTGGAAAGTATTGCCCAGGACAGGGTTGGATGGAGAATGCTGGTGAGCGGCCTATGCTCCTTCACGAGGAGTAACAGGTGTAAGTAAGTAAGTAAGCCTCACCCAAATATGCTGAGAGCAAACATACTGGCCATTTATGAGCGGGTCGCAACAACAGACTGGCTAGTAAATACTAGCTCAACAGTTCAGGAAGCACGACCTATATTTAAAGGTACTTTTATTTTAGTTACTTATCCGTTTGTACCACATGGATCAAACAACTGTCCATCATGGATAACTAAGCAAGTCGGGAAACTACTTAGATCTTCAGCTCTCCAAGCTCAGAACAGTATAGATCAGTTAATTGCAAAACTAAGAACGCTTGTAATGCGTTGGCAAGTAAGACTAGATATTCTTATGAAAAACGATTGTTTGGAGATTGCAAAAATAGGTGATGGCACTTCTCCTACAACCGATTTTGATAAGGTTAATTTTTGTTAAGCCCTTCTATTAACTTATTTATAAGACAATGTTATTCGAGTAGTAACAGTTTGTCTTTCTTTGTACTGTTATTATCACATGTGACAGTCTACGCACATATCTCTCTAGCTAAAATGTCAATCACTTTAACAATCCTCAATGAGTTGTTCCGTTTTCGATGTATATATATATATATATACTCAGATTCTATTCTTAGACTTTGCCTTTCCTATCTGAGCCTTGATTCGATTTGACTATACATTTGCTTCTGTATGCACTCGCATATATACACTCGCCTCTCTACTTTAAATTTGCGCGATTTATGTAATTTATATAATGAAGGTGATCAGGGCGATTTATTGACGAACCTAGGGAACTACTTGGTTATTCTCGTACATAAAGAGGCTAACTTTAGGGAGCGATGGGACCCTACTACTTGTCATAGAAGAAAATCCATAGATGTTGCCAAGAAATGGTATCACAAATGCCAGAGCTTTATCAGAATATTTTAGCAGAGTATTTTCTCCCTGCTATGGGGAACGACCAACAATTAATTATGATAATATCAGCTTGTCGATGAATCCCCTAATTATTGAGAGAGGAACTGCCTTACGATTGCTCCAACGTCTCAAACACGATAAGTTCGGTGGTCCTGACGATATTCATCCAAGGGTTATGAAAGGCCTGCCGGACGTAATTGCTGAACCTCTAGACATACTGCTCGAGACGTCTCTGTGGCAACTCAGGCTTCCAAGAGACCAGAAAGATACAACAACCAGTTCAGTGTATAAGTCTGGGGGCAGAGATTTGGTTTGTAACTACTGACCGGTTAGTCTAACTAGTGTGGTTGTCAAACTAATGGAATTGGCTATTCGGATGGCTATTTATAACTATATGGAACGGAACAATCTTTTATCGAGGGAACAACTAGGTTTTAGGGTAGGCCATTCATGTTTGACAAATTTGTTCAATACAAGAGAAGATCGAGCTGCAGGAAATGACGAAAATATTCCTGTGGATGTAATGTTCATGGATCTAATGCCCTTGGGTCTTAAATTAAAACGGGAAAGTTTACGGATCCATTATGAAATCACATAATGAATAAATAACATTCTAAATGGTAGAGGACAGAGTGTACGGGTAAATAAGGCTCTTTCAGCATAGGAATCTGTAAAATACGGAGTTCTTCAAAGTACAATCCCCAGTCCTCTCCTTTTTTTTTACTTCGTGTAAATGACCAACTGTAGCAAAGTCATATGTCCTACTTTTCGCCGATGATATAAAGGATCATGGACCCATGGAAAGCATGTCAGATAAAATACTATTACTCGAAGGGTAGGTGGTAGTATCAGCACCTGTTGAAACATTCAAAGCCAGACTGGACCCCTACAGTGTTATAAATTTCAAAGACCAAAAGGTCGGTAGAACTCCTCTCATTGCCAACAAAGATTGAAGACTAAAAACGGTTACTTAGAAAAGCCTTGGCCAAAAATTTATATTCTTAAAACTTTAGTCTGAAACATGCAATGCGGCAATACGGTCACCTACAATTCCATACTTTCAATTCGTATGGGTAGCGTGATAAATAGACCTGTATATTAACTGAAACAATAAAAGTGAGAAAAATGCTGGAAACAAATATTATCTTATTCAGGCAAACAGGATTTGAAGGTTAATCAAAACTCTGAGATTTACCGTTTTTGTTCTTTTGAACTTCTGTTGTTTATATGTTCTATAATCTGTACTATTTTTGGATTCTCAAGAACCCGGTGCACGTTATTCAAGTCGTAAGTATTCTTTTGTCGGTGCCTATGTTCTCCAGTTATTTAAGTGTGCATGTCAAAATTATGTCGATTTAGGATAACAAATAAGTCATCATATTTCGATGACTTTCGATCTTTTAATAGTGTATAACATCTTCCCTTATTATTAGTGTTACAACGCTCATTAAACTCGTAGTAACTTCTGGGAGAGTCTGAATGTATTGATTGTGAAGGGTAAAAAAGACAGCAATCAAGACATTATGTTGTTGCATTCACAACACAAGGAAGTGCTGCAAAAGAATTAACAGTTCCCAAGTGCAAAAAATCCTTTGTAAAACAGGAAAGCTTCACAGATAATTCATTTGTTTTTGTTAGTGCGAAATGTCGACAGATTTTGTAAATTGCAGATTGTTCACACCAATTCTGGCATTTTCCGATCGCCCAATGCTTCCGGAAATCGACATATACTTCATGATTCCTAAGCCCCTTTTGCTAATTACACCATCTGGCAACCTCGACCACTAAATTGCACTTTATAGCGTATGGCAGCCTAGAACATGTGTGTATCAGTTCAAGTTGCTAAGGTTTTTACTACTAGTAAGTGGGTCACTAGGCGGTGAGTTGAACCATCGTGCCAGTAACCAGACGTCATATGTTGTCCAGATTAAAAAACTAGTGGGAATCCAGCTGTAGTTTCCCTATAAATTCTTTATAAAGTGGGAACTACTTCAGCTAAAATATCTCCTGGATGTGTAATTAGCTGGACTATTTCTTATTTTGCGGATTTTTTTACCAACATTTCTTTTATTGACTGCACTTTGTCCTTCACAGTACTTTATGGATCATACGTTTTCGTATCTAACATTTCAACGAATCCTGTTGAGTCCTACAAAACCAATAGTTCTCTGTGATTTGAATCAAAGCTAAGTTTACTAACCTAAACGTTATTACTGAGTTTCTTTACGGACTTCATATTAAAGAAAATTTCACTTAGTAAATCATTATATTACAATTTCCGCAAAGTGACCTATACAAGTGCAGAAACCGTACTCAGTGAATATACTTTGACGATGTTCAGTGCGTTTTGTCTGGTAGTCACATCTAACGTATCTTTGTCATTCATAACCTCTAAAAATAGCTCAACGTATAAATTGTTCTTGAATATCAGTGGTTTCCGTATTTAGTGTTAGTCCCAATATTATTTGATATTAGGTCACTTTTATCTCTCGGTTCTGTTTAGCAGCCAATTAGTACCGCCCTCATAAAAACGGGGGTTTAACATGTTTTCTGTACATATGAAATTTGATCATCAAATGACTTTCAAATATTCAAGATTAAAGTATATCCTTAGATAACTCCATAATACTATAGACATATAACTACCCGAAAATAAGACTAGACTAAACTTCGTTAGATTATCTTACAATAGTTAATCGTCTTTCTGTTGAATTGAATAAGTTTTTATCGTTTCTACAAAGTTGATCACTAACTTTACTTTGCATTACAACGAATTTCATAGTTAGTGACATGTCCGCTCGAGCCAGAAAACAAAAAGCTGCGGAGTCTGAGAAAAACGAAAGTAGTCCGACATCGTTCTCTCGATCCGTTACGATTGAACGCAGCCATACATCATCAAGTGGAAGTCCTCGCAAAAGTTATTCTCGCAGTGAAAGATCTAGTAGCCCTTTGACTATTAGTCGATCTGAAGAAAAAGATGAACTTGCCCATCTGAATGATCGCCTTGCGGGATACATCGACTACGTTCGAAAACTGGAGCTTGACAAACAAAAGCTTACTAGACGTATACAGACCGTTACAGAAGAACGAATGGTAACTAGCATTATATTCAGGAACAATTCTTGCAGAGTAAAGTTGAGGAAGCCAGGAAAACATATGAAGATGAAATTACAGCCTTAAGAAATTTGGTTGATGATCTGGCTAAACAAAAGTCAAAAGCCGAGCTAGATTCCAAGCAAATGAGAGATGAGTTGAATGACGTAAAGATGAAGGCGAACAAACGAGATCAAGAGAATCGTAATTTACAGAGAAAGATAGAAAATCTTGAAAGGGAACTGAGTAAATATAAACAAGATCATGATGCTTACCAGGTAGATTGTAATAATCTTAAAATTTTATCTCACAGCCTCTCCTTAGTGACTACCATGTTTTAGAAAAACGGTTCGAAGAAATGAAACGAGACCTTGAGGCCGAGACACTACTTCGGACTGATTTGGAAAACAAAATCCTCGGTCTTAAAGAACAGTTAGATTTCCGTTCTCGGTTATTCGATGAAGTAAGTCCGCCTTATTTGTAAATCTCTTCCAGGAACGTGAAAAGTTAGTTGAACGCAGTTTATACATTGAAGAAGAGGTCGAAGGACGCAAACAAGCTGAATACGAAAGTCGATTAACAGAGGAGCTAAGATCCATTCGAGATCAAACCGCTTCTGAATTAGAAGAGTATAAAATACAAATGGAAGAAACGTTTGAGGTACATGATTAAATGTGTTGTTTAGTTATTTTTTTATTTATTTATTTGAACACATAGATATTGGTACAACGAGGCACCAAATACATATGCGCCACACAAATCTTATTCGATATGTGTGAGGGCTGTGATACTGCTCGGGTGCCCAAACCGAAGCAGGTAGTTTTCTTAGGGGGCCACACCCGGAGCCTTCGACCTGAAGGTCTAATCCACAAGGCAGTGGAGCATCGTAAGGAGATGCAGTCCCATGGAAGCCGGTGACCAACGACTGGACATTCGCTTTTTGTCCTCTCATTTTCGTAAACAACACCAATGGTGCGAGAAGACAGTGATGTTTAGTAGACATTTCCCACGGTGAAAGTCTTGTTTGTTTATAGTAACAGCACTTGACTTATTGCTACTGACAACTGTTCAGATGAATTGTTTACATATTGCGAAATTCATGTTCAGGTTTCTAAATCCACGACAGAATAAACAACAAGCTATGATGCCAAAATTCATGTAGGATTTCAATTAGACTTCCATACAATTTATTATGTATGAGTGAATTTTGAGGGCTGCTATTTCGTATTAACTATTAGTTTTGGCTCCAAATAACAATGCTGTCATGTTCAAGCCCTATTCCACTCATTATTTCTTTTTATAAACGATGCTAAGTAATCACTAGTGTAATTGTCGAATATATATATATATATATATATATATATATATATATATATATAGTAGTTTTCAAAGCGAAATGTATACAGAAATGTTGGATTACTAAGAAGTTACTAATTCTTTACTTAATAATCCTAATTTCAAGTTATTCTTCTTGATTTTGAGGGAAATTATTTGTTTTCATCATTGTGTAGTTTATTCGCGAAGTATAGTTCACTAACCTGTTTCTTCCCGACCTAAATTTTTATCCACATCTCACTGCCAACTTGGAGCAGTGACTGACAATACTATAATTTATAGACAAACCAATTAGATTTAAGATAACAGATCTTGGATTTTGGCGCAAAATTCAATCACTCATTTGGCTAAATACCATTTTGGCATTATAGTTGATGTCAGTTTGTGGTGAAAACGTTGGGTCTAATTCCTAACCCTGACGTTCAGCTGTAAATATCGATCCTAGTTCACCGCACTAATATACAACCCTATTAGTTAGGTGAGCATCCCAAAGTCACTTTGGCGTTGCTCAAAGGTCGTTCATAGATTATAGTCTCATCGCAGTGACTTAGTAGTTAGTGTTCTACTTTCAGTCACTGAGTCCTAGGTGTGAATCTCACCTAGCGTACTTCGTTTTAGGTAATCAGGTAGTGTCATTAACCCTCACTGTGTTTTAGCTTGTACCCAAGTTCTTGATCAGTTGATTTGTACATTTTAAGACATTTCGTTTTTTAAAACTCACTAGTTTTGACCAACCTCACTGATGGTAAGTAATATGGTTCAACGAGATGTTTCTACTGTTTCAGGTGCATTCCTTTTAACCTAGTTCACTAACAAATGTTTTATACGGAAACCAAAAGTCAGTCAATCAGTCCGACGTGGAACTTCGTACGTACATACACCAGTTTAAGTTGCCATACCAGGGTAACACCCCTCTACAGTCATTAGTACGACTTCGCCCTTAGACTTTGAGTTCCTGCCTTTAGTCTTACCGTTCTCCAATCAACCTGCCTGGCATGATAGAACATACTGGAACATATGTTCCAGACAATATAGCTCGGTTGGGTCATCACGATAGGCAAGCCCAACCACCACGTCAAGGTAGCAGCTACAGTCGAGACGGAAATCAAAAACTGAGTGTCATCCATACACAAGTCTTATTTTCGGTTTAATTAATAAAGTGAGTGATGATTATATTAGAGCAACAGTGGAATAGCGTAAAATCCGTCCGAGCCCGAGTCCTTCTAATTATGTGCTTGTACGTCCTAATATTTCACCAATTCAATAAATTTCTGCCAGCAAATATTTTCGGCTTATTGACTAGTAGATGATTTATTCAAACTAGAAATTTCAGCATGCATGTTTCTTAACTTTTTTCTGTTATAGAGCAAACTGGGACAGTTGAAGTCATCAGCTAATTTTAGTGCAGAAGATGCTAGTCGCCAGCGATCTGAGCTGTTGATAGCTCGCAAACGTGCTGATGAACTTTCCCACGATTTATCCAAGAAAATCGCTGAGCTGGAATTGCTTCAACGACGAGTAGCAGATCTTGAGCGGCAGTTAACTGATGAACGGAAAGATTTCGAATCGCAACTTCTTTTCCAACGCCAGGAAGTAAACAGATTAAAAGAAGAATTGGAAGAAAGTTTCCGTGAATTTACCGACCTCATGAATACAAAAATTGCGTTAGATCAAGAAATATTGATGTATCGAAAAATGTTAGAGGGTGAAGAATCAAGGTAAGTGGTGGCAATAACTTTCCTCAAACTATAAATCCAAAAATTTCGATTTCTGAGTTTTTAAAAACCAGAGATTATTGGTAAATTAGTGGTCAGTCAATTATATGTGACGTAGGTCCTCATATAAATGTGCCTCTGTCGAAGTCTCTATCCCTCATCATAACTGTTTGAGATTATATACGTTAATATTGCAAAGTTAAACTGGGGTGTTGTTTAAAGGAAACATTTTAGATGGTAGAATAAGAGTAATAAATTAATATTGAGCTCAAGGAAAAGTTAAAAATGAAAGCATTATCTCCATCACTACTGATTTTCGTTGATAACATCGAATATTACTCATGATTGTTGTGAAAATACCGACAAGGAGGTTGTTTACACCCCTCCCGCACATGATATGATGGTTTGTTCTTCACAAAGGGCAAATTTGCTTTACGATGAGTTAATTATCACCTTAAAAAGACAAAGGGTGATCGTTGTATGTGTGAAGCATAACTCGGTTAGATGTATCTGATGATTTGTGTCCCGAAGTGAGTACTGGTGTGGTTAGACAGAGTAACCAGCCAAGATGGTATATTAATTGATTAAGTTGAGAAACCTCATCAATATGTATTACACATTGTCTAACACCGTTTACATTGTCGTTCCTTGTTGGTTGATATGAAAGCAAGTTTTGTAAAGATTGTTCTCTGTCAAACTAAAACTTGTCATCTTTGCATGAAATCACTCTTAACTTGAACTGTGTTAGGAATTGTGGATTTTTGTATTATGGTCTGCGTGATTATCCTTTGAACCAGTGCTCGAGACGTTTATATGACTTGATTGAAAACTGACTCTAGTGGAGCAGATACATTCATTATTCGTAGTTTCTTTGAAACTTAACGCTGTCACGCTTTTTACTAATCGATTTCATTTGGTTTGTGCAAACTACATTCTCCATGCTGAAATGTTACTATCAACGCCACTGCTATTTTGCCAATTTCCTACCGATATCGTGGTTTAAATTATGGTAACATGAATCAATGAATATTTGTTTCGGGTCTTGTTGTTTTATGTTGATACTACTCAGACCATAATAGATTCAGACAATGGTAGACTTGAGATTCAATAGTTTGCAGTTGAGTTACATAATCAGTAAATCACAGTCAGTCAGTTAGTTGTCCAACGTGGAACTTCGTACGTACGTACATCAGTTTAAGTTGCCATACCACATTAGCACAGAGATGCAGTTATCGATTCAAATCCCGTAGTGGTAGAGGTAGTAAGAGTATAAGCAGTAGTCGGGAAGATTAGGGTTTGGAGATGTTATTCAAGGAATATAATCCAGTGAAATAAATTTGGAAAGAGGAAAAAAGGGACATGAAGAATTCAGAAGATTAGAATTCGGGAGAACATAAAGAGTGGATGCACCTGCGCCATTGCAAACGATTTTGAGCCATGTAATTCAGGGTCTCTAACCATCGGTTGCTATCATCTCGCGGTCCCCAACCAGGTAGTCTGCACCTACCAACATGGCTCAGTTCACTTGTCAGTGACTTCATGGACTTGTGTCATGTTTTGGTCTGGTCGCCCCTAGCTTTCTTCCAACCTACTCATACCATACACCATAAAACATCGCTCGTCGGGGCAGTCGGTGGTTGGGCATATGTAACACATGTCCCAGCCATCTCGACTAATGAAGTTTCACCACTTGATCAAGTGATTTGCTATGCTTACCTAGTACCCGTTTCCTGACAACTGCATTACTTACTCGGTGGTCCCAGGATAGACGAACAATGCTTCGAAGACACCTATGATCGAACACTAGTAACCTACGGATATCCTCTACTCTTACCGGCCATGTTTCACTGTCATAAAAAAGGGCGGAACGAACTGCTGCACAGTAAACCCGTCCTTTGGTTGGTAGACGGATTTCTCGCCTACGCTATAAGTGACGCAAGTTGGCAAAAGCTAGTCGAGCCTTCTATATCACAGCTTCAATCGGATATGCGAACATATTCAAGCATCAAGCAACCCTACTCGTTGTATACTCAAATTAGAGTATTGCTCATGATCGCATCTAATGACACAGATGCATCCACTTTTTGGCTTTCCTTAAACCACGAGTTTCAAAATAATCTCATACTTTTTTCTCGATCCATATTGTCTATGGTTGACCTTTCCTACTGTTATTGGTATCGTAACTTCTACTCTGACATCTCGCTACGCTGATGTAGTACGGCGAATTGAACCAATATGCATATCCCAGATCTTACATGTAACTGACTAATGTTTAAAGCTAGGTAAGTGGATCAAGAAATCTCATCAAAACTCATTACGTAACTAATGATCAAACGAAACTCATAATATAGAGATGTTCTTAGTAGTATTCACAAAGTGAGTGTGAAGGGTGGTGATAATAACATTACATTGTTTCTGGTATTATTATTCTCAGTCCTTTACAGTTTTGCTTTGTTTGTATCAGATGTGATAACTCAAATCAACGTATATTTGTACAAGGTCCTACCTTGTGAATAACTATTTGTTTCAGTATTATTCTATATAATAGCTTTAGAAAGTTATTAGTTTTTCTCACCCCATCTAACAACATTTCTGTCATTAGCATTATATAAAAACCACATTAGTGAATATTGTCGGTTACTGGAGTGTATCAAATTTAATCTTGTCTTACAGACTCAACCTGACACCGGCTCCCCGTGACTCACCGTTCAACATACCGGTCAAACGCAGGCGTGTAGATGGAGATTTTGAGGGTGATGAGTCGAATGCCAGTCTAACTGGAGCCAGTTACAGTTCATCCCGAACAAGATTTGCCTACCGAGTGTCATCGACTGCACGTGGACCTGTAGAATTTTTCAAGGAACAAGATACCCATGGCAAGTGGATCAAAATACATAACTCTTCAAATGATGTAAGACTAACTTGTGATCTTAAATAGGAATTTTCAGAGAGAAAAAGTAGTATGAATCTAAATAATCACTAAAAATAATGATTAAGAATTTCATATACTATACTAAGTTTACGTCAACTTCTGTTTTAACGTCCCAAGATACGTTTAGAGTTATATTTCACCCTTGAAAACCATTTAGCTCTCTAAGGGTTTTTACGTCAGACTACGGGTTCAAAATCCTTCCGTGAACATAATTAATATGTTTCTGACCACTTACGTAAAACGAGCTACATTTTTTCAATAACATTCAAGTGTTCCTCATTACTGCGTTTTTGCTATCAGTAGCAGATCATTTTAGGTTTAGTCTTGACAGAAGTCAGCTTCGTTTAACGCTTTATAGACGCATATTACGACAAAACAGACCTGCGGTATCGCCTGACTAATTATCGGTAGTTTTTAGGTAAATTTTGGCGCATTAAAGCTTACCTGTTATGACTAAAAAGGAAGGATAAATTAAAACCGTCGTCTTGAAAGTGAACTTGATATCTGCTAGCGATTTAAGATTGATTACGACAGTGTAAATCTATCACGTGTTTATATGCAGTAAAAATAAGGATCTCACATAAAGATCGTCTATACTTAGTGAAACCTCAATTGGCGTTATGCGCGAAAACGAAAGTGCACTAACCACCTTGTTGATTCAGCAGTCAAACTTCACAGTGAATTTTACGCCTTAATGAATGCATGACTTCGTGCAATTACTATGCATAATTAAACAGCAAAAGCAGATAAAAAGTGTGACTTGGTTTCGATATTTTCATAACTAAAAACGGTTTGCTGAAGTTTCGTCAGACCACTCCCCGAATAATCATTTCCAACTCAGTTGACCATCTCCAATACTTGGATGTCTGATCTGTCAATATCTGTTCAACGCTTTTTGTTAAAACGTTTATTCAACCATGTAACTCAAACTCCATTGCGTACAGGCCACATTCTTTTCCTGACTAAGTAGATAGTTTAACTCATTCACTAAGTACGGCGTCATGTACTCATCTTTGAGTCACATTGTGAAGTTTTTTGAAGATTTCATTTTCAAATCCTTATGTTTAGTGTGCTATACGGATCTTTTAATCTAGTAGCGACATTAAAGACTTTCAGCGAGAATTCAGTTAAACACTGTTATCTTGGTTTTTATGCCGTTTGTAAAGTCAGACACCGACTCCGTAGTGTCCTCAAGTAGGTAGGTACACAAAACATTCTCTTCAAATCGAAAGACAAAATCTGCTATACCAGTCTTTAAGATGAAACAAACTTTGTTAGGTAGATTTCCTAGAATTCTAGAGAAACTTTGCTGTTCCTTAATCTGCGTAGGTTAAAAGGAGACACTCAAATTGAAGTACATTGTTTAATTGACGTCCCCACGTTTCAAGTTCCTGAACTGAGGATCTAATCCACGAAGCAATGCAGGAATTATATTATAAAAATGTAATGGTATCTGGCGACCGAATTCAGTATACATGCCTTCCTCCCCTTGTCATGAAGTTCAATTATATCATTGTTTTGAAATTGATATTTTCAGGCTCATATTCGTAAACCTGCCATGTGATTAGAAATCATTGAATTAACTAACAAACCTTAGATGATTGTGTTCGGTTTGGGCACCCGGCCAGTATCAGCCCTCACACAAATCAAATGAGATTTATGTGGCGCATATGTATTTGGTGCCTCGTTGTACCAATATCTATGTGTTAAAATAAATAAATAAAGATGATTGTGTAATAATGTAATTGAAAACAGATTAATGTTAATAATGCAAGCTGTAATTTGAAATCAGTCAATTATGAACTAAATAAAAATGACAATGATGTAATCAAACTTGAGAAAGATTTGAAATAATGAATAATGCAATAAAAAGGATATAATGTTCCCAAGGCAAAGAAGGATTTATTATTCTTTCTTTTTGGACATATGGATCTAGTTTTCAGACGTTTGGTCACTATGACTGCGGCAAATTTCAAAAGATTAGAGTTTGGTTGTTTAATGATCACTTTGAAGGACAGTGTGTCGACTTGATGTCCTGTGTCTAGATATCGTGAGTTGGCACTGCTTAATACTTTTCTGGGGTATGTTCTTTGAATCTGATGTAGGCTCCTTTCTGTTCTGTACTAATAACATGTGGATGAATCAATCTTTTAATGTGTACATGGTTAGTTGTTGAGGAACTGGTTCCAACTTGATCACTAATCATCGTGCAACAGTATGATAGGGTGAATTGACCATTGACAAAATAGGTATAATAGGGACACGTTTTTTATGTATCTTTGGTAAACCATACACGTGGAGCAAACGAGCCCCATGAGGTCGTAGGTTATCGTAAGTGAACTTATCAATCACCTTCAAATCTCTGAGTACATTCTTGATTCTTTTCTGTTTTCATGGTTAGTTATTCTAGCCAGTTTACTCATTACCATCAGATTTAAATGTGAGTTTTATTGATCATTTTTGTTTTTATTAGGAAATGAGTTTAGGTGGCTGGGAACTTGTTCATGAAGCTGATGGTCACGAGACTCGTTTCAAATTTTCACGAGCTTTCTCCTTAAAACCTGGAGCATTATGCACAGTAAGTTGATTTTCGTGTTTAGGCTTTGCTTCTCGGATATCTTAAAACACTGGATTTGAATTAAAATACTGACTTTTTATTTCTTGTTTATTATTATTATTATTATTACTAGCTTTATTCATTATTATATCTTTGGTATAGAATAGAATACTCAACACAAAGTATTTCAACAACCCGAGCTCCCAATTTTGGGTAAACTCCCGAAGTCAAATGACCTTCACCAATGTTTGGGGAAATCCCCAAAGTCAAATGGCCTTGACCAAGGTTAAAGGGGAATTTTTGGGTTTTAGTGCTATTTCCCCAAAGTTTACTATAGCAGCTTCCCCAAAATGGGTCAAATTTTCCCCAAAGTTGGGAGCTTGGGAAGTTTCTTTTTCTTATTTCTTGATCGATGTTGATGATAAATATTGAGTGATCCTCAGTTAGATGTTAGCAACTCAGGAATCGACATCTAATTAATGTTCATTCTTTTCAATATGTTATTGTTTACTAGCTACCACGATGTCTCTGGTTGGGCTTTTTTGTAACTTATATTACGAAGGGTCATAAATGCAACTGAATAGGTTATGTGATTAGCAGACACAATGATATGTTAAAACAAACAAACAAACAAAAACAGATAACTTGTTAAAATATCTAGATGACAGGAACAAGTGTAGTGAAGAAGAACACAGGTGAGGACAACCGGATTATATTTAGCACAACTGTTATCACTTGAAGTTGAGGGTTCAAAACTTTTCTCCACCCCGTCGCCAATTGTTATGACCTTGAATGTCTGACTTTTCTATCACGCGATTAATCTACCAATCCGAATACGACTTATACAAATCTTCACACTAGGCCAACCAATGACGTTCAACCGGTGTGGGCAGTTTAGCGTCCTTATTGGTCCTATGTCCTACGAGCCCTTCCACTTGAGTCCAGAACAAGATACCAGCTTCTGAATCAGAGCAGATCGTTTATTTCAGGCATACTTGGTTTATATATCAATCATACAGACCGCAACGTACCATAAAATAGGAAATAATATTTGTACACAAATAAGCCCAAAAAGTGGCTGTGAATGTGGGAGGCAGTAGTTAATAAACTGAGCATAACTTAAGAACCGTAAATCGTACAATAATAAATTATAGGCCAAAATAAAGCTTGTCATAAGAGGGATACAAATATACATAATGTAATTGTTGAATAGTTATACAACAAGAATATTTATAGGATATTAGTCCATGAATAGTCCTCGGAAGTTACCTGTAATTTAATCTCCACTCGGATATAACACCTCCCCCTTTTTTTTAAGATTCCAAGCTTAGATTCTGATTTTTCTTTTTAAAAAAAAGATTATGTGTAACTTTCAATTCTCCTCCTCCTCGAAATAATGTTGGGTACTTATGTCTCCAAATTACAACTAATAGGACTTTGTTTAAACCATGTTTCTCGTATTGAATGGAGAATCCACTAAAAATGGCTAGATGATGATGAACGACCTTCGACTTGAGGTCATTACTTCCAAATTCATTATGAATCTCGTTAGCAGATAATGAGTCGTTAAGAAAGTCAACGCCTAACAGAATTAAATTAGATTTTTGACCATCATTTGAAACAGCCGACATATTTTCTTCATTTTTATAAGAAATCCCATCAAAATTCTGTGCATTATTATAAGAACCCATATCTAGTACATTATCATGAGAAATTAGATAATCCAGTTCAATATAAATTTTTGTCTCCCAATTATTTTGAGTAACATTTGGTACAGTTGGGTTCATCGTGTTGCCCCAGTTATTTTCTGAATATGAGTCCCCACAGCTTTCTCGACTAAAATCACGTGGACCACAATTTTGTTCGAGTTGAAGTTTATTTTCAGAGCCGGACAGAACCAGTAGCGTTTCATTTAATTCTGGACTCTGGGCTTCATCTACAGGATCTGGCTCCTGATCATCTGGCACTTTCACAACTTCATGTGCATTTAGCACAATATTGTCTTGCTGTGAGCCGGACAATTTACCAGTATTACGTTTTCTATCTGGTATACAGGGATTTGAAACCTCCACGGAGTATGCCTCTGAAATGTCCATTACTGCACCATTATCTGTATCATAAATAGATTCCTTATTTTCTGGCTGAGTGAAAAGTCTGCCCAAAACTGTTTCAAATAGTTGTTGTTGCAAGGCTAACATCTGCTGGTGCTGTAGCTGTAGTATTAACTGCACCTGTTCTAAAGAAATGGACTTTTTTTTCTGCCAATAATAATATTAACTTCAAAAGTCACCGGTAATTTACTACAGCTAATTTATTTCCAAAATCTGAGTCACCACTTGTCGTATTATTATTTCTTTGTTGCCAAAATCCCCGTCGCCAATTGTTATGACTTGAAGTTGAGGGTTCAAAACTTTTCTCCACCCCGTCGCCAATTGTTATGACCTTGAATGTCTGACTTTTCTATCACGCGATTAATCTACCAATCCGAGTACGACTTATACAAATCTTCACACTAGGCCAACCAATGACGTTCAACCGGTGTGGGCAGTTTAGCGTCCTTATTGGTCCTATGTCCTACGAGCCCTTCCACTTGAGTCCAGAACAAGATACCAGCTTCTGAATCAGAGCAGATCGTTTATTTCAGGCATACTTGGTTTATATATCAATCATACAGACCGCAACGTACCATAAAATAGGAAATAATATTTGTACACAAATAAGCCCAAAAAGTGGCTGTGAATGTGGGAGGCAGTAGTTAATAAACTGGGCATAACTTAAGAACCGTAAATCGTACAATAATAAATTATAGGCCAAAATAAAGCTTGTCATAAGAGGGATACAAATATACATAATGTAATTGTTGAATAGTTATACAACAAGAATATTTATAGGATATTAGTCCATGAATAGTCCTCGGAAGTTACCTGTAATTTAATCTCCCCTCGGATATAACAACAACATTACAGAGTTACGTGGTAAAATAGAAAAACCATACTAGAATAATTAATTTACAAAATGTTCAGTAATTGTCTCGGACTTCATTGTTCTTGCATTTCCATACTAATTGTTTTCTATTCCCGTTCTTCCTTTCTTGATCTTCCTAATCTTCTGCTGCGAGACATTACATTCCTGACTCACGTTATATACTACTTATTTCAATATAACTAGCACACACCACACAAGTAGCTGAGATATTGAAGCAAGCCACCTTAGTTATAGAAAACTGATAAATGTGCATTAGGATTGATAATTGATGTGTTTTTCTTGGATAATAAGTTCTTCAAAAATACTTAATAATCCATATAAAAATATCTGTTACTTGTTTTCCTAAATTTCATTCTTCTTTTACTTTGTTAAGATTTGGAGTCAAGATGCTGAAGGCAATTCACACAATCCTCCTGCTGATTTAACTATGAAGAATAAAAGTTTTCATTCTGGCACTGATGTCACAATTCTATTACTTGATGCAGATGGTGAAGTAAGTTTCTTTGTTTTTTGTTCTTGTTTATAAATTATCATTCTATCAGTTAATATTTACTACTTTTTTTGTTGTTTAATCAATAAAATTATAAAGTAATTTTGTTTAAATAGTGAAACATGTTCATTCCTGTTACTGTCCAAATTGATTTTTATTCATTTTAAAAAAAGTAAACATGTATGTTCTTGTTTTAATGTTATCTAAACACCATATTGTGAACTCTTTATGGTTTCTTGTTGTTGCTATGACTAAAAAAGAAATGCACTAATTAATAGGTCAAATATTTTATTTTGATTTCAGTAGATATTCTTATTTAATTTTTTATTCATTTATCGGAAGTTGAATAGACCAATGTTCATCTTTTATTGATGAGACTAGAATTTTTAAGCAACGCTGAAGTGACCTTGTAAGTGAACAACTACTGAATAGAACTAAATGAGGATTATAAAGCAATTGAAATTCTCATTTACAGTTGATGCTTAAAGGTTAAAAATTAGATTTAGGGTTTTCATCACGAAATGACATCAGCTATAGCTGATGCCAAAACTATATTTAGCCCAAATGGATGAGTGAATTCCGCGCCCAAACTCGTGACTCGTTATCTTATATCTGATTGGTTCGCCCATAAATTATAGTCTCGCCCTTTACATTTTATTATCAAAATAAATCAACATTATTCCTTTATACTGTTGTGATTGATTGAAATCAAATGTTCACATTAAACTGAATTCCATTTAGAACATTACTATTATTTATTTTATTTAATACACAAATTCTCTTACGACTAGATATCCAAAATTGTATATTTGCCACACAAAATAGACATAATATTATGAATGTTGGTAAATCAATTGATGAGTTTGTGGATCTTCATCAACCGAGATGGTTAGGCTACGTGCTACGTATGTCTGAACATCGATTACTACGACGTGAAATGTTGACTAGTGTTGAAAATGGTTAGAAAAAAGTTAGCGAAGGCCAAACCGAAACGTGGCATCAGTGCTTGAAGTCATTAACTTCTAGTCTAAGCTATGTTGATAGATGCAGACTACTTGGTTGGGGTCCACGTGAATATCGTAACCAATGGGTGGAGACTGGGTGACATCGCTCAGAATCGATCACAATGGCGTCGGTGTATACACTCTCTGTCTTCTCTTAAAATACGAGATGAAGATTGCTTTATGTCTTTCTTTTTACCAACTAACTCTTTCTTCTTGTACTATATTCCTATATGCAAAATCTTTCTTTTATATATTACCACCATTGAATTAACTACTTCTATGAATCCGGTATTCAGCTTGTTGTGCTAATGAGGTGTGGTAACTTGGACCGATGTATATGTGTGCCTGGTCCTACAATCAATAAAATAGAAATGTGGTTATAAATAGTAAGTAACATGAAAAACAGTCCAGTTAAAAATACACAACCAATAAAGATATTTCAGTTAAAGTAGTTCTCACTTCTATGAATAATGTATGGCGAAAGTACAGCTGAATTTTCACTGGCATTTGTTTTGGACTATGTTTGATAACATCTCGTCACTAAACTATACTATCTCCAGGATCCTTACAAAAGTTACACTAAATCGACAGAACAAATCTCCGTACAGCTTTTTTGTAACACTGTCACAGCCCGACTACTTCTATACGTTCCCTAATTAGTTACAATGTTGGGAATTCATGCAAGATCTGAATTACTGGGATGCTATTCGTAATACATTTCCAAGCTCTGAAAGTCGATATTTTTATATTTTTAAATTGATTGATTAAATTAGTTGAATAGTATACCAAACCTCAACGATTTCGTTAGGTGTTTGATTGTCTACAAGGACAGCAATAATCTAACAAAGACTGACTGAATATATTTCACATGGATGGGTTAGGTTTTACGAACATGAAGAAGAACTGTTTACTGACACGTTATATACTTCACCTATCACCATATTCAGTGGATTCAAAGTATGTGTTGTACATTGATTGCCAACTGATAGTATCTATTGGCAAATATTTCACACTGTCATACTAGGAATCTTAATCACTAGTTCATCCGAAATACTTACAGTCTTGCTATATAATAAATAAAAATAAAACTAATTGCCACCGAATTCACTTTTTTCCTGTTACTAAACCATAACTAGAATCAATTCAGTTTTTGTAAACGATAATTCGTGGTATCTTTTGTCACAGAAAGAAGCAAGAAATCTAGAAATAATTTTACTTAAACCCCTCATATTTATTATGAATTCTGTACTTGGTTGGGGTCCGCGTGACTTTCGTAACCATTGGTTAAGAGACTCCAGGTGACATGGCTCAGAATCGATCACAATGGCGTCGGTGTATACACTCCCTGTCTTCCCTTAAACTAAGAGATTAAAATTACTTCATATCTCTCTTTCTACGAACCAATTCTTTCTTCTTGTACTATATCTCTATACGCAATCTTTCTCTTATATATTACCACCTTTGACCTAACCACTGCTATGAATCCGGTGTTCATCTTGTTGTGCTGATGCGGTATGGCAACTTGGACCGATGTATATATGTGCCTGGTCCTACGTTGTAGCTGACTGACTGACTGTATCATTCCATATATTTCTTCTATATATTCAAATGTTTATCATTTAGTCATATCTTGTTGCCTTTATTGTCAATCTTCTCGGAAGCTTAATTAATGTAAATGTACACAAAATAAGAAGAAATTTTGGTCAGTAAATTGTAACTGAACATTAAAAACGATCATTCTTTGCTTTATGTAGTGTTAAATATCTTTGTGGTTAGATTAATTGAGAATTTATATGTATATATATATGTCTAATTGTATCATTTTCATTTAAGGAACAAGCCAAATGCACAGTTAAACGAGAAAAAATTCGTCCTGGAGTTAATTTTGATCGTAAATCCGGTGTTCGTGCTCATGATGAGGTTAGTGTACTAATTGGGTTTAATTTCAGTTGATAATTAATTATATTGTAATTATGATTGTTGTCAAAATGGTTAATTAATATACGTTATCATTATTCGAATACATATAGCTTATCTTATATCTAAATAATACATGTGTCATGCTTTAGAACATGATTATCGAGTTTAATGGAACAGATTTCAAATCAGTAGTATGGTCGTGTTAAATGTCAGTAAACTATAGTTTTGTTGTCCATATATTTTACAACATTTTCTATCACAACTTTCTTGGATTTATTGTATAACCTTTAAGAATCCGCATTGATTTCTTCGTCTATTGTTAAGTTTCTGGATATGCATGCACCATAGGTGCTTGATTACCTATCCCTATTATTATTATTATTATTTATTATTTAATCACATAAACATTGGTACAAGGAAGCATCAAATAGATATGCGCCACATAAATCATTCGATTTGTGTGAAAACTGGGATACTACACGAGGTGCCCAAACCGAAACAGGTGGTTTTCCTAGGGGGGCCACACCCGGAACCTTTAACCTGAAGGTCTGATCCACAAGGGAATAGAGCAACAGAAAAAAATGCAATCCCGTAGTAACCGGTGACTAACAATTGTTCCATACGCCATTTGTTTCTTTGAGATCCTGGAGCCCATGTAAACCATTGGTTTGGAATCAGGATTTCCCAACTCCCCCAAGGTGAATTCTCCGTGTCCGCCAACACGGTTAAAGCTCTGGTCATTCGCTTTTCATCCTCTCAATTTCGTAAACAACATACCGTAGCAAGAAGGCTGTGAGTAGGGCTTCCGTGCTAGTGGTTGTATGTGCGTGGCCATGTGAGAACATTTCGAAAGGGAGAGCTGATTCTCATTACTCACGGCCGTACCAGGGCATTTGGGGGCTACCTCTAATCGATTTCAAGTTATTTATTGCCTTACATCATTGCAGTTTCTTTTTTTCTGAAATAACTCATGTTTTCGTAATGGCCTATCGGTCGAAGATACATTTATAATCATATCTATGCACCTCACTACGTTTACTTAGAATAGGGGAGCAGCTCTTCAATGTTTACAGTACTCAACATGTTTTGGTTAATAGATTTTAGGCTCCTAACATGAAATCCCTTTAATTTAGTGCTTCGTGGATACTTTATTAGCGTAAAATATCTCTTATGTTTAGTCATTGTCAGCACTGGTATTGTCACTAGAACTGTTATAAACCAAATTTACTTATTGTGTATTATCGATCTACATTGTTTTTTTGTTTTTGTTTCTTCTCATTAACACAGAAATGTCATCTCATGTGAAATGTGCTCTATTGAAGATAGATGACCTACATTATTCTTTGTTTTCCCTAATTGTATTAACTTTCTAATTAATATTAATGCATTTTACTAATTCTTTGTTCTTTTGTGCTAACAAAACAAGTTATATAGTTTTTTTTCTTCTATATGCTGTCTGCTTGACTATTCACTTTATTTCACTAACGCTTTGTTTAATAATGCCAACTGGTCATACGCTGTTGTTGTACCACGATATCTTCGGGAGTATGTTATTGCTTTTTGTTTTTATATCTATATTAACAACAGCAAACATGTTGCCTTGTCATATATCGCTGCTCCATTCTACAGTCTTCTTATCTGCATGCTATATATATATACACGTACACATGTTATTTTCACTGTACTGTTCGCTCATACTGTTGTATTCATTGTATTTTCATACCTGATTCATGCTTATCATCATATGCACTTATATTATAAACTAATACATTCATTTGTTGTGTAATCATTGTTTCTCGTCGCATTTTTTTATACACACTAACTGTATTTATGTATAGTGGACAAATCTGTTTTGTTCATTATTAGGTTCAGTTCTCCCTAGTTATCGGTGTATCGTGCTATTGAAATCGTTTCAAATTTATTTGAGCTCTAAATTTAGCGCTTTGCACCTCATCTCTGTCTCGATTGTTATGAATTTTTCCCACGTATTTGATAATGGTACGCAGTTTGAAAACTGTTGAAGTGGATAGATGAGATGACTTATAATGGTACAGTTTATTCGATTTGGACTTGCTCACGTGACCGTTAACTAAAAGTATGTATTGTAAGTTAATCGTCGTAGATGAATTCAACCGAATCACTTCTCAATATTGAGTTCAAAAGCGGTTAACACTCTGATATGTCAAGCCTAATCGATGACAAGAAATGACCTGAAGAATAAGTGTATCCCATTGGCTAAAAAATGGATTAACTCCCCAAAGGATAGTGTTGCATATTTATAGATGAGGGTTTGTGCATTTTATTCGGTAACCTTAGTGTTAAACTGACACATGGGGCACAATTCTGCCAGCTATAAATTCAGGGAGTTTCCCACGTCGGCCCGTATTATGTGCTTTTCGACTTGTTGTAAGCAATAATTCTGCTCCATGTCAACTGAATTGCTCTCTCCCCAATCTATTTTACCGGGACCCAAGATGGTCAGCCTTAAATTTCTGGTGGTTGCTAAACAAATTATTGGTATTCAACCTAAATGTAAGCTTCTGCAGCGCAAGAACTTTATGACCTAAGGTTTGTTTTCACTAATTTTGAAGCACAACTGGTCAGTAAGTAATAAACTGCGAAATGTCTACAAGCCTTCAGTGTCATGAAATAAGATGACTACTCCTAACAGGTTTTTCGTCCTATATATGAGGCAGGAGTATACTCAGATGCAACGAAAATTATAAACAAGTTTCGTTCTCGATGTATGTCTACAATCTACGTGACTTCTAACATTCCAGCTTCATAGGCAAAATATGTGTTCATTTTTGTGTCAAGTAGGGCTTATATAAGATACTCTATCAATTATTTGAGAACTGATTGTGGAACGGTAAATGAACAAACAAACAAATCTCTTCTGCGGTCTTCCATGTTCAGTTTTTGTGGGGTTATTTAATTTGACTTGTCTGCTGAAGTTGGAAATAATGAGACGGCACTTCACTAGCAAGTTACTTGAACTGACCCAATCATTGAATATCACCTTTAATACTGAGCCCTGGGACTTGTCTAGGAAAGAACGTTTAGGTCCACTCCTGTTATTTACTCTGAACTACTGCACTAACCTGCTCATTCATCCGGTAAAGTATACTTCCGTTCCTTCAGATAGCCTACTGATTCTATTTAAATTAAATATCAACAAATGCAGCCGGCACACCGATATTAAATTAATCTTCACTTGAACCAGAGATCATACTTTCCGTAATATTGGTTGTTTTTCTATTTGTGAGCACGGGGACGACCCATAAGTTAAACTATTAACGGATGGTCACGGCTACGCATCGTGACGTGGCTTGTTAAGGAATCTCTATACTAACTCATTCTTCAATTTTAGTCCCACTTTATTCAGCGTCTAAATAATCTCTACGTGGAGTTTCACTTTGAGTACGTTAAGAACTGAAACAACAGTTTTAAAACATTCTGTGTTTTCCATAATCAGTTGCTGCCGTCTTTTTGATTTATCTTTGAGCTTACCAATACTTGGAATATTCGCGTTATTCTCATGGTGACTTTAAGCGCGTGATAATGCCACTCGACTTTGTGTCAGAAAGACGTTACGTTGATTCTAGTAGGAGACAATTTTACTGGTGTTATTTTCCAACCACACGATCTTCCAGAGTGAACTGATGAAATTCACATCCAGCATTAAACGAGAGGTCAGAGATTGTAGCCACAGGGAGAATTGATTGGAATGATTGATTCAGCCCTGTAGCCGTGGTCAGTCTATGTAGCTCATACCTTCCCGCATGAAATATATTATCTTATTCTCAAATGGAATGTGGCGTTCAGAAGAACTAATCATTTTATTGCTAGTTGTCACAGTAGGGCGAGTCAGTATATATGATGTGCCTTATAGATTAGGTAGTCAAATCTACAATTTTGGTCTTAGGTCTATTATGGTAACGAGGATAAATGTATTAATAGTGAATTGGACAATGATTCTACACATTCACTAATATAGGATAGTCGTCCTTCAGAATTATGCATGGTAGATAAACTGCATGTATTTTTAAGAAATCTTGATGGAGCTGTCGCTTGTTTTGATCTACTAGCACATGCGAAAATGTTTTATCTATTACTATATCAACCCTACATGTGTCGGTAGACCTGGTTTCACATTCTTTTCAAGATGCATTTTGACCTTGTTCGCTTAATAACCCTAACTGTTTTTGTATTAGCGTATGTATGTTAATTGCTTCCATTATTTATTATGTGTTCGACAATAAATAATAATGTATTTCTACCAAGGCAGGTACAAGCCTTTTTTACAAATATGATCTACAAACTATTGTATTGGTTCAATTACAGTATGCTTCCCAAGTAGAATGCTTAAGTAGAGGAAATAATATACGTAATTAGCAGTACATTCCTGCAGATGACACAGTCGATCAGATAGATTTGGTTCACCGCTCCGCTCAGCACTCTCATCTTCGCCCTCTTCACTTCGTTTCTTTGGTTGTCTCTGCGGATCAAATAATCTACGGAATATACCTAATAAACATTTATTCTCATTGTGCCGATAATTATGTATGAGGGTAGTTGGGATGTATATTTCAAAAACCTCTCCGATAATATCGAACGCAGGTCTAAATAATTTATGTCTGACCCCTACACAAATATATCTATATATCTCAGTGGATCTTGTGGCCTTTTTTCTCTGTAGTTGTCTTCAGTTTTATCAGGGTGCAAGAAAATCACATTAATAACTTTGATAAGTAGGGTTTTGTCATCCGAATTCAATTACGTAACAACAGGAGTACCCCATATTGAAGACTGAACAGTTTTAATTATACCTTTCGCACACAAATCATTCAATGTCTATGCGTTGTTTCTCGAAGACCATAATGAATTATTCGTCTCTTAAGATACACTGGACCACTCTGTACTTGAAGTTTTAAAGGCTGAATTTACATACCTTCACTTAGCACACTCAACTAAAAAAATCTTAAAACCCAGTATTGACACTTTTGTTTCGCTAACTAAAAATTCACAAGACATCTGGGAAGAATTATAATCTCTGATTTGCAATTCACAGCATCCTGGTATGGGCAGTCTGTGTCCAGTAATCCCCAATATTGAGACTTCATTGGGTCTTACAATAACGTTAGGATCTAAAGATTTCACGTTCTTGGATGAAGTAATGATCTCTATATTGCCTGTGTACACAAAAGTCACGAAATAAACCGAGGGATGTATATAATCGCTTTTGAATGTGAGCATTACCTTTTGAAATGGTGGATGAAGGTTAATGATCATTAGGAACATCCGAATTACTAGGATCTAAATTACAAGGTTTGGTACCACTTGTAGCAAAATGAACAGCAGTCCCGCATGCTAACTGAATGTGTTCTATCTTACCATGTTTAAAACATTTAGCATTACGAAATGTACATGCATTACGAGAATAAAATTTGTCACAGGATAAACATTTACCAAACTTGATCTCATCTTTGTTGTTTGCTTTCCAAGTCATTGTTGAATCATTTTTTATATTTTCATGAAAATAGGAATCACCATTAAACGGACGCAAGTTTGATGGACCCTGAGATTGTATTTCATCATGAAGACTGAGCGGAGCATTAAAAACTTTGGTTGACTGGATATCAAATTCATTCACTGTTTCTTAGTTAATACATATAGTTCTAGCATTTTGAAAGGAACAGTTCGGCATTCTCAACAACCCTCTTTACAGACGTGGGATGTTAATCCTTGCAATTAATCGATTCCTTAGCAGCACATTAGGTTGGGCGCTAAAACTGAATTCGGTAGTTTGTCTTTGCAATTCAAGGATGGATTCCTGAACCTTTTGGTTGTCCTGACGAATAATTTTTGAAAGTCCGCTCTCTCACGAAGTTCAAAACTGGTGAACTGTACATGATTTAGTGGTAGTTCCTTAAGATTTTCATATGAAAGTCAGATACCTTTTCTGGAAATGTTAAAATTTTTAATAATTTGTAGACTTCTTCACCAATAAGTGTAAGGAAATGTGCCACAAATTTATCACCCTGCACATCATTCTTGGTCATGCGCAATATATAAAACCTTTCCAAATAATCCTCATATGCCTCAGAAATTGAATAAATCTCTGACTGTTCGAGCGCAGGCTCCATTAGGGCGGCCTGCTTGAGCATCTGGGCTACCTGTTCCTGCCATCTAGATATTTCAACAAGTTACCTATTGTTGTTTGTTTTAATATATCATTATGTTTATTAATCGCATAACGTATTCAGCTGCGTTTCTGAAAAGTGTACAACCTTTCGTTGTCAAAGTTACAGAAAACTCAATAAGAGACAATATGGTTGCTGGCAGTGTACAAAGAAAAGAATGTACATTATTCAGTTGTTCATTCACTGAAGTGCTAACATCTAACTGGCGATTCCTCAATATTTATCGCCAGGACCGACCAAGAAGAAAGAAACGGAAACTTGTTGAAATACTTTACGCTGAGAATTCTATATTGTACCAAAATTATAATATTGAATAAAGCTAATAATAATAATAATAATAATAATGTCATCGCGACGCCAGTGTGATGATTAGACTTATTTGACTTATAATTCAAAGCAGGTATCTCAGAAGAAAACGCAATTTAACCAAGAAGTACTAGATGAACATGAACGAATGTTTTGTATTTGGAATTCGAACTGTCATCAACTACAAAGAAATCGTTCTTTTCAGCACAAGTGACCACAGTTCTCTGGCAAATTACCTGGTCTCATAGTCACTGACTTACTATTCTACCGTTTACTCCCACCTCCATCGATCGGTTTATCCGTACACTTTCGTCTTATCAGCGCTTAGTTTGTTGATTATTAAACTTGTTTACTTAAGTTTCGTGTCATTCGTCTGAGGACCACAATTTTCCCCTCATTGTTTTTGACGTCACAAACAACAGATTACCCAATTGATAGTATAATAGCTGCTGGCATCCAGAAACCATTTTGATGTGAGACTAAAGCACCCACCCGAAATACAAGACGGACAAATCTGTGATGTTATTGGTTTTAACCACACAATCCTCAAAGCTGAACACTAGATAACAAGGAAAATCGATACTCAACATATACCACAGATATGCAGTGACTCACTTTTATCACGAGAACACGATTAGTTTATCGAAAACAATTATTATTATAACCAATTGTACCAGTGACTGTTTTAATGTGCTTTTGTTTAACTGTGCTCTAAAGCATACATTATTCTTAAACTTTGATTGCGAACTCGCGCGAATTCGGTTACATTCTGTAACCAAGCTTGTATCCTGGCACGATCTCGGTATCCTTTCGATACCACGAGATCGCCAGCAAATATATCTCGACTTGGTCCGTTAAATGCCTTCTGATATTTGGCTTCCCGGGGATTTTATGGATTTATTTGGCACGTGTTTCTCTGTAGCGACGTTGATAGTCAATTTTCCGTTAAGAACCATTTGGACCATTACATGTGCAGCTGAGTGACTAGGCTTTTCCCCATTATGCATTATCAAATCCTCAGAATCGCAACAAAAAGCAAGAAGCAAGCAAAATTACCAATCGGCTTTTACAAAATCACCACAAAGTCATCGAATGTATTGGAGACACTATTAAATCAAACGCCATTACCAATAGAAGAGAAAAGGGAATGATAAATGCAGAACTGAACGTAGTTATCGATCTAATACGAGACGGGTTTTTTCTCGACTGATGCAAATAAATAATAGGTATTAGTTTCATATTCAACGATGCTCAATGAGATGAGATCTGACATTTCATCTCAGGTGACTGAGTTTACACGTCATTATAATACATGCACAAAGTGTCTGAATCTGTAGTGTGACGTCGAGTCGCGGTTGACTATGTTCACCACTACAAGAAGGTTGCGTACCAGATATCAGAAAGCGATCGGAAGTTGTAGCGAGATATATTTGTTGGCGATCTCGTGGTATCGAAAGAATACCGAGATCGTGTCAAAGGTGTACAAGCGGAATCACTGAGCAAACGTAAGGACGTGCAAGGTCACAATCAACGGAAGAAAGAATGCATGTCTTTAGTACAGTTGAACAAGCAAGTACAGTAAAACAATCGCTGGTGCAATTGGTTATAATAATAATTGTTTACACTGAAAGTAGATCACTACAAATCTTTGGAATGTCAGAAATCAAGGTCAATAACATGGACCGGTAGATTTTCGTAATTTATTACTCAAGTTTGTGTTTAGTTATGCTAATTAAATCTCACGATCATGGAAACTAGTAGAGCGGTTCATTTGATATATATTAGTCTGAAGTAGCCACGCGTCAAGTTGCTTGTAAAGCTTTGATTCGGTTTGGTTAATCCTCTGAAGAAAAGTTTGAGCTAGTTTTTTTCGAATGGTGGCAACATGAGCTCCTCTGAATCTAAGGATGAAAACTTACAAGTGAGCAAAATATTCTGAACAAACGAAAATAATTATAGTACACATACCACACTAATTCAGAAACTTCAATACCTAAAGCCTCAGGAGGAAGCCATACTCGGAATTCTTCTTTTGATGCTCCAGGTGTTGCAGATGTTACGTTGGGCAAAGAGTTAGTTAGAAGACCTGTTTTATATAAAAGATCTGAAACAAATATTCCCAACATATGTGTTGTGAGTTGCTGTTTTATTCTTATAGTTCTTTGCATAACAGGACTCATCGTCACAGAATTTTAAGCATCATTTGAAAAAATTACATATTGCTGTTAATAAGGTACCTCTAATTTTAGTGAAATATTTGAACATTTTCCGTTAGATTTTGGAAAATGACCGCCTTACTAAATATAGAAATCAGTCGAAAAAGGTATGAGTTAGTGTAGAAATGAATTTATTTCTTTTAGAATTTCAGAGGAAATCAGGAAGCTTGTGAGAAAATGTTAGATGCCGTTAGAGAGCTTGGGTCCTTTATTGTTCAGCGTCAAAACACCTCTCCAATTGGTCATCACATTAGACCTACTAAGGATATACAGTCCCGCTTTCCTACGAGAGTGCGATCGAAAAGTACTACCCATGATGACTCAATTAGCCATAAACGTAATTTAACATTGAGGATGGGGCATAGTCTCAAATCAGTCAGACGTCCTACATCACTGACTAAAAGGTCAAAATCTCCAACCAAGCGTTCAGTTTCTCCTTATCCGGTGATTGATACTGAAAACTCTTGCTGTTCTAAGCATTCGGGACATCTTAAGGGTTTAAACATATTTTCTCAGCGTGAAACAAAATATAGATTTCCAGTCAAAAATGATACCTTTATAGCTTCAAAACAGGAAACTGAAAATGTCCAGGCTTCAGAAGATTTTACAAATCCAGAGGTGAGTTTCTTAATTTATTAAAAGTTCTTGAAATAATGACTGATTATATGGGGAATCCGTATCCCTTTTGGGGCACATGATTTATATCGGTGCTTTTCATTAATTTTTAAGCGCTTTGTTTGTACGGTCTTAACGTAAAATTTTGATGTTTACAGAGTCGGTGTCAAAAAATTAGTTTATAAACCTTGATCAAGTACTACTCATTTATGACGTAAATGTTTACTTAATAGGTTGTTGATCAGTATAATGACTGTTCATACTACTCATTTGCCCAAAGATGTGGAGATAAAACGTGTAACCCAGTAGTCGAAATTCTCACGTCTTAACCTCT